TTAAATAAGTTGTCTACGAAATGAGCTTGTCTAGGAATTAGTTGTCTATGAAATAAGCTTGTCAGTGAATTGATTGTCTATGAAGTGGCATGTCTGTGAGTTGAGTGTCTGTGAAATAATACGAACCCATTAGAAATAGCCACTTTGAATTATCATATATTATTAAATAAGGCATTTTAATATTATGTTCAGCAAAATAAATTATTTTTACTGCATTTTCACTGTATTCTTGACAAATAAATACTTTTTTATTTTCGATAAATAAGGCCATAAAAATAATTTTTTGGTTTCCATAACATAAAATTTTAAAACAGACCAAGCAACCCGGCTTTTTTTTTCAACTTTTATATATAAAATTTTTTTAAAAAAACCCCCACCAGGTTATTATTGCATATAAAAAAAAAAGTTTCAAAAGTTTTAAAATTTTGACCCGGCCGAGTAAGAAAATTTTTTTGTATGGCCTAAATAAAATAATTTTATTTCGAGAAAAATCAGTGGAATGAAAAAAATCAGTCGATATCCATGTATCTAAGCACAAATATTTTCTAAAACATGATGGATTAACATTTAATACAAAACCATATATTAATCCATATCATCATCATCCTCGTTATCAATATCAGAAGATTCAGGATCTTTTTTAGTTACTTTAAAAATCTCCCATTGATCAATTTCATAATATCCTGTAGGCATTATAGCCGGTTGTTCATAATACCCGTCTTTTATGTAGCAACTGATATAATCCATATTATTTCTTCCTCCACGATGGATAAACTTTAAATCATCACCAAATTTTAACACTAAACTATTGAGATCTTTTCTATAAGTACTTATTTTTTCTGAACATATTGCTTTGTCATAATTTACAACACGGCTTAGTCGATAATCTTTTCCATCCATATCTTCACAGGAAAAAATAAAACTTTCAGATGTGTGTCTAAATTCTTCATCGGTTGGATAAGTGCGATATTTCCCATATTTCCAATCAATAGGATTATAAGCTCCAATTATCTTTCCTGAAGTTTTAAGTTTCATTACCATTAATGAAGGTTCATGATGACATTTCATTGTTGGTAATAATCTATTCGAAGATTGATTATAATATTGTCTAGGATAATAAGCTGTATTATCTTTCATACGAAATATTGGTGTAAATTGGTATGGCAAATTAGAACTGATATAATGATCTTCTACTGGATCCTTCTTATCAATCCATGTCGCGACCAATCCGAAAAAGTCGTTATTAATAATCTTTGATTCAATGGGTGAATTAGTAAGTTTGGTCATTACCCTCATTGGTTGATCATCTTTTCTTCTAACTTTATAAATATTCCATTCTTCAATTTCATATATACCTTCGGTCAATGTAGTTTGTTCGTAAAATTTATTCTTAATTTGACAACTGATTTTTTCTTTATCAAATATAAAAGTTAAATCTTCACCAAAATTTAACGTTCCAAAGGTATTAACTAGGTAGACTGCATGGTCAAAATTACGAACTCTGCTTAACCGATAATTTACTCCAAACCTATCATCACAAGAAAAAATAAAACTTTCTGAAGTCTTGCCACAAATGTTACTTAGACTTTGTTTCCATTGAATAGGATTATAGGCACCAATGATTTTTTCCGAACCTTTAAGTTTCATTATCATTAATGAAGGACCCTCATGACATTTAATTGTCGGTAACTTTTTATTACATTGATGGAATCTATAAAGCTGTGAAGAGAATTCTGTATTATCATTCATGCGAAAAACATGCCGAAACCTAAATGGACTATTAAATCCCGTATATTGAACTTTCATGGGATCTTTTCTATCAATCCAAGCAAGAATCAATCCTGCAAGTCTGTTATTAATGACCTTTGGTTCGGCTGTTTGATTAATACGAGGTGGAATTTTATATAAAACTTCCTTTGATGGAAGTATTTGGTTAAATTCAGGAGTATACTGATCCGACTTAATATTATTATATCGAATTAATTGAAGTCCTTCTTCAAGAGTAGTTCTTAATGCATTCATCCGATTTGTATTATCGGTTATAGTATCGTAATTTGGTGTGTTTGCGATGCCCCATTCGATTAATTTATTTAATATTGTTATTTCCGGCACACAAATCATGTCTAATTTCAATATAGAAAGTAAAATTTCTTCTTCAATGGATGTAAATTCTTGCGATCCAAATAAGATCATTGGCCTTTCTGCCACCATATCTTGGCAAATTAAATAGAGTTCTTGAACGGATGAAATTCGGTAAGATGCTTTTAATATATAAATAATATCTTCATCACGCCAATCCGTTTTACTTCTTTCTAATAATTTGGGTTTTAAAAAGTCGATAAACTCATTAAGGAGAAGAATATCAGATATTAGTAATAATTCCATAGAAAGAATTATGCTGGGTTCATTTAAAATAATAGTCCCACTACAAATGCCACTGTAAATTTAAAAAAAAAACCCATAATTATTAATATCTATCTATTAATAAACTTTTAATAAAATAAAAATGATTAGTTCTTACTTAAATATTAATTCAAAGGCATCGAATGAAACTTCCAATCTTAATTTATACATATCATCAACTTTTCTTGCCCATTTGTCTGATAGAGCTATCTTAAAATATTCACATCTATTGCAAAGAACGTTTGAATGTGCCTCGAAAATCTTGACCTTGTTAGATCTTTTGTCATAAATTTCAATAAGAGTATCATGAGGTCCATTTGTTATAGTATCAGAATCTGATGATAACTCTGGTAAACGATAAGAAAGCATACTGTTAGACGAACGTTATTTAAAAACAAGAATGAGCATAAGTATTATTGAAGTTAAATGATTTATGCAAATGATGAATTTTAATTTTTATTAGGATTTATACCAGTTTGTCGTACGTACGTACATATTTTTAATACTTCTTTATAGGGTTATACACAGTGTATTCTTTCTTATTATGCGCAGTTGTGCGGCAAATTTTTGTATGAAGATACCTGGAAAGTGAATATAATCATTACGCTAAATTAATTCATCATTATCTATTTTTATTGTTGAGATTTCTAGAAAACGTTCAAAATAACCATACGTATCACCAAAAATAAAAAATAATCGTAGCACTAACTCTAAATAAACCTTAAATTGGCTTAATATTCTGGTAAAATTACTCCTTGGCCGTATTGTGTATAAATACAAATCTGCTCCAAATTGGGTTAAACCTTAATTGTCTGAAATAAATGTCACAAAAAATTCTTTGTTAGTTTTCCTAATTTGGGATCTGATAGAGATGTAAATAGAACGATAAATATACAGTATAGTAATTAAATAAAAGATAAGAATGGATACAACAAGGAAAAATGAAATATAGTTACAGAGATTGAGTGCTAGCGATAAGCATGAGGAATTCGATTATGTGAGTATTGTATTAAAAGTTTTCTAATATAATGTGCCAACAGGACCCCCGAAATATATATATTGAAAACGGGCGGTTTGGTCACCGGGACCAAACCGATCTTGTTTCTGATCAGCGACTAGACGACCATATCGAAAGAGGCGGTTAGATTTGGCGAGCGGATGTTCTAAAGCTTAGGTCGCCTTTCCTAATACTAAGGTACGGGTCAATTATCACTTCGGGGGGGTACGGTAATCATGGACTAATCTATGGGCTTCGCGAAGATAACTCTATTATGCCACTTAGTAGAATATGGGGGTAAGGTAATTAAGGAAAGTGTGGTTTAGGTAGTAGGAATCATTTAATAAAGAACTTAGTTTATTTAGAAGCGAACTTCTAAGTTGTTCCTCTCTATAAGCCAATACGGCCTTTATTTATAATATAATTTTTAAATGCAATTTTCTCATTTATTACATAAATGCCATAAAAGTAATATATCTAATTTATCACATAAATCTCATAAATCTAATAAATGTAATAAATGCAATAAATGTAATTTATGTAACTTATGTAACTTTTATCCCCGTGACCTGTGGTCACGTTATCGTTCCGGACCCTACCCAACCTAACTGCTTTTCGGGTCTCACACTATATTGTACCGCCTTTTTGTTCGAAATCATCAATGCTTCAAGTTATTAAAATTGTTAACTTCAAAGAATTTATTTGGAAAAAATTTCAATTTTACCCTGGGTCAATCATTATTATTGTATCTCTAAATGCATGTATAAAAGTCTCACTAAACGCACGCTCTGTCTGGTCTCACCTAGTATAACGCTTGTAGATTATATGCTAGTTTAATCATCAGGTGAGAAAAGTTATAAAATAAAATGTTGAAATAAATGAATAATGAAAATGTAATAACACTTGTTAAAAAAAAAAGTAACAATATTTACATAATAACGAAATAAAATCATATATAATGCAACTGTATCTTTAATTACGCTTCATTAAAAATTAGAATAACTTCTTTAAAAATAAAATAATAATTTCGCAATTCAAGCATCTCTATTTAATTATTTAGCTAATTTAAGTAGTTTATTCTGTAACATGTTGTACATTCAAGGTACTTAAGTAAGGAGAGTATGCTTTGAATTTAATAAAGAATAATTTGCTAAGTATGTTGGTTACCAGTGCAAGACCTGATGCAATTAAAGAGAATAATGTAATAATTTCGAGTTCGATTGTATCAAGAACATACAAGATCTAATATGGTTACAGTGTTAGTAAAATAATGTATATTAATTATTAATTTTAGTTTTATTTAAATACCTGAATAATAAATTGTGGAATATATGTTAAAATTATGTCAATGCAAGATCCCCAAAAAATTATTTTAAGCGATTTATCGGATAATGGTGCATTGAAAAGTTCAAGTTTCATTAAATATGATTTTAATATCAATAGAATATCAATATTTGCTCCAGATATTAATGCAAATAAAGTAGCGATTCTTCCATAGTTTGCAAACCATTCAACAAATTTTTGGCTTCTCTCCATAATTAGTATTCCATAGGCTAGAGCTAAATTGAATACTATGGGCAATGTTAAAATTATTATGCTTTTTTTAAAAAATAAATTTTAATTAAATGTTATTTCAATTATGTTAAATACTGTGTGAATAATTCATAATCATACCTCAGTATGTGTATAACTTGAATAGCTTTGGCATCAATAAAAACAAATGCTGTAAAGGTGACGGTTCGAAATATAGTAAGGCCAAGTTGGAAAATAACAAAATTTTTACTCTATATTATTTATATATTAGATATTAAGTAAATAAATTAAAAGGCACATATTGCACAAAATGAAAAATATTACCTCTGGAGAATTATACCTAGCTACAAAGAATACTATTGAAAATAGAAATGCAGCCACAAATAACATAATGAACTTTGTCTGATGTGATTTAAAGAATTCCTGCGGTGACGCTATCAAAAGAAATTGTTAAAATTAAAAAAATATACTTAAAATTATAAATAATATAAATTAAGTAATTCGTACAAGCTTGCTTAAATCCATAAGTTTTATCCAAATACTTTGTTGTGGCTCCTGTCGATATATTTGTAAATTCTTTATTTTGTATTAGTAAGTTCAGATCATTTTTAATATCAGTTGCAATTCTATCTTTGCCGCTCTTTGCATCGCTAATAGAAAGTGAGATAAGAATTTTCACCGAATCAATCGAAGATAAATCAATTTGATAACGTTCATCTGAGCTCAATCTTTCTTTCTTTATAGGAATTATCATTACGAGTTCATTTATTAAATTTGTAAAAAAGTCATGTTTTCCTGAGTCAGTTAACCCTTGAAAATATTGAGTTCCACCTGTTGTTAGTCGTAATTTTCCAAGGATATCACCTAATTCAATCGCAAGGTTATATTGATATTAATCATATATAAGTAATTTACGAAAAATTCAATATACATTACCTGTAATCTTTTGACTACTTGTGGCATAAGTTTCTATTTACATTAATCGATGAAATTAATAAGTAATTAATAAATAATAAAAGAAAGTAATGGTATAAACCTGTTTGAAAAGTCCAAATATTTGGATTAATTCCTGGTATTGGTTCCTTATAATCTGAGCTCATTACAAAGTCGGTATCCATCTGTATAAAATATTGGCCTTCTGGATCATTGAAGGTACAAGAATATATTTCGAGATTGATTACATAGTCAGAAATATTACATGAATTAATAACACAAGTTTTTTTATTAATTATTTGTCGAAGAATATTGGATTGATTTATTTGTTGATAGATGTATAAATTGCCATCAGAAAATGAAACGCGATCATAGAATGTGATGCTAATCATTAAGGAATTTAACGCAAAATTCATAGAGTTGCTTGGAGGATTTGTCGTTTTTATATGTAAATTTCCATAACCACTATCTATAATATGTAAACTACTTATTTAAGTTAATAAGTTCTATCTGCTAAATTTATCATTTAAATTTAAAATATTTTTTACCATTATGTGGAGCAAGTAGAGGCAAATCGATTGAAAGAAGATTCCAAGCGTTATTAGATTCATTTTGTGCCACTAGCATCGTATTATTTTGTAATACATCAAATCCGCCAAATATATTTGAGATAATTGACTTCAACGGAAATATCCAATTAGATAGTTTATTACTTTCGTCATAAAGAATAAAGGTAAAATTCGTAACTCCATTATCAATTTGTCGTGATATTGATGCATATCCTCCAAGAGGCAGTGTTTTTATAATTGAAGATGTGTTCAAAACAGAATCTAATGCTAGTAAGGATCCAGAGGAAAGAAAACGTACTTTAATACAAAATGGAACATTTTGCACCGATGTTCCGGTTACAATACACGTATGACCAATAAAAACGTAATCGACAGAGCAGCTTAAATTAATGAACGTTAGATTAACGTTAGGAGTAGACATTTCATGTAAGATTATTGCACGGGGTGTTTCTGTTTGATTATAATTTAATATTATAGCATATAATCCTGCAGTTGCTTTAAGTCGGGAAGCAACTAACGTGACATTAGATGTTATATTTCCAGTGGTCATGCTAGCGGTTGTGTTAGCGTATACAATTGCATATCCACCATTTAAAGTAATTACTCTCTTAAAATGCTTTAAAAAGAGATCATACTTTAATCACTTTAAAGCATTTAAAGTATTTAAAGCATTTAAAGCAATTAAAGCATTATTGCTCTTTAAAGCACAGAATCTCTATAATTAGCAGAGATCTACTTAGCTATAAAATTAAACTGCAGCTAAGTTATATAGGTTCAGAAAGTAAACCCAGAACCCAAATTTCTTATGTGACACTACTTACTACTATGAGGAGCAAAATGTGACCTAGCTATTAGCATATGAATAAGTAAGAAAATATAACCTAGCTATAGGCATATGAGTAACATAATCATTATCTGAACTAAGGTTCTGAGCTGAAGCTAAGCTACAAGATCCTGTATGTTATAAAGGTCAAAAATATCCTACTCAAATGTACTACCTTCTAATGTAATACCAAGTTCGATATAGCTAATATTTATAATGTAAAGGGCTGATTTGATTCTCTAGAATACTATGTTTTGATATAGTATGATATCTTATTTTTAGCTTATAGATTCTTGTTAAGCCTGTTTATAGTATATACAAACATATATAATTAGAAGCTTTACTGTAAACTAGTATTAATTCTTACTTGTATTTAGTAAAATTAATATTTCAAAATGTTAGATTTATCTAATTTATTAAATTAAATCAATATTAGACAAATAGTAATTAAAATTACTATTTTGAAGAAAATCTGATTTAATTGATATTTTAATAATATCAATTAAGTTCTAAATGTATTTACTATAATCTTGTAAAGTATATAAGTACTGCATTTTTCCTTCAATTAAAAAATCTAGCTTACTGCGAGTTAAATAAAACAATCTCAAGTTTTGAGAATAAATTTCTTCTTATTGAAACTTTAATACCATATTCATTAATTCACAATTACTCTTTTTGAATATAAACAAACTAACCTTGACCTTAATAAATCTAAACCAAATCTTTTACAACTTCTTTTAACATCTTCTACTATTAAAATTATTGTTAGTTTAGTAGTAAGTAGTGAATATAAGTTAGTAAGACCAATATTCTAACCTACTCTTAGACTTTAGACTTCTATTTAGTTTTCAATATTTAGTAGTGACTATAAGATCTGATATGACCTTATTCAAGGCCCAATTTGCAAAAAATTAAAATAAGAATTAGTACAGAAATTTTTAATAGTATTAAAGAGCCAAAGAAATAACAAAAATATTAGCCTATTACCAATATTTTAGAGAGCAAAAATCAACAAGAAAATGGAGTTCATACTGCCTCAGTTAAGATGTTAAGTATAACAAACTTAGAAGAAAACAAAGGCAAAAATTAAACTACTATAGAACAACTAGATAATATAGTAAAATATTATATATATATATATAACTATTTAACTATTAGAAACCACTATGCCTTAAAGAGATTAGATTTCTGCAGAATACTATATATAATCTAATTCTATAATTATAATTTAGTAGCTAATATATCCTGTAACTTATTAGTACTATGTGAACAATTTATTAAAGAGCTTAACAAGAAATTATCTAACAGGAATTCATAAATAAATTCAGAATTGATCCTAGAATAGAAAAAAAAAATTGTTAGTACTAAATATGTCTACTAATTCTTATCCTAGAACTTGTAAAGAATTTATAATTTAGCTGAACCTCAAATCCAAAGCAAAGAATCTAGTTTAGATTCTAATATTCTGGTATATTAATTCTAAAGAAAAATTTGAATTAAAAAAATAAAAATAAAAATTAAACTTGCAGAAGTTAGGATTACTATTTTACTAAAGTGTATTAAGTTGCATTTTTTCTTGAATAATAAGAAAATTCTGTTATTAAAAGCATTAAAATTATAATGAAACATAAGATTCTTAGGCTATAGAATTGTTTATTAATTAACTTTCTTGGCTTAGTAGAAATTGAACTCAGATAACAAAACTTTGAACAGAAATAAGAAAGAAAATATCTATATTAGCTGCTAGATAAGCCTTAAGAGAAGCACTAAAGCAATATCAAAGTGTAGTTTATCTAAATTTGATGTTCTAGACAAAATTTCGTGAAATTAGCCAGAAAAGAGACAAAGAAAAAAAAATAAAAGATAAACTAATTACTTATTTATAAGAGTCTATAATAAAGATTCTTAAGATTTTTAAGCTGTGAAAAAAAACTAAAGAATTTGGAAAGAAATACTTACTTGGATAACCTTGACAAGTTCTAAGAATTTATATATAGTAAATATAAATTAATTAAAGAAAAATTGTAAAGAGCTAATTTGACCTTCTGAAAATACTATACTCTGATATAGTATGATATCTTATTTTTAGCTTATAAATTCTTGTTAAACCTATTTATAATATATACAAACATATATAACAAAAGACACACTTAATCTGCAAATCTTTTATACTAAAACTTTCTAAAAATATTTATCAAAAAAAACCAAAATTTCTTAAAATTTTATTAAGTAAACTAAGCAAGTGCTCTTAAGTAAACTTGCTTTACACATAATTTTACACTCTAGTAGCCTAGTTTTATAACTCTCACTCTTTTCTAAGCAGAATTATATTCCAAAAACTAAGTTCTCTAAAATTCTAAATAACTTTAAAACTAGCTTCTAAACCTTTCTTATGCTCTTAGGTAAAGTTGTTGGCCAGTGCCTTCTGGTCATAACAAGCTCTAAATCATCTTTCTAGCACAAAAACTGAGCTCTCTAGAGTCTCAAACAGCCTTTAAAAACACCTATAAGTTTTACTTTTGCCCCAAAAAATTTTTTAATTTCTTTTTTTTTTTTT